TTTCCTCGCGTGCGGCTTGTTCGTACAGTTCTAACGATTGTTCCCTCTAATCGTCTGCTTTGGTTTTGTTTGGGGCGGTTGCAGCGGCTGGTAGTAACATCATGAGAACGGCAGAGCGACTCGTGAGAGGAATCTGGTCCCCTGGTCAGAACGAGGCACTGCAACCTTCTTTGTAAGTATCCTAGTATCTAGCTCTAGTACTATAGCCTGCTTACATTAACTGCCGCTGGCCAGCGGCAGTTAATGTAAGCAGGCTATAGTACTAGAGCTACCTAGTATCTCACTTATATGTAATCTTAATCTTATTATAAGTTTATGAGGTAATTAAAGGTATTAAGTTACTTCCCTAACTATCAATAAGTCGTTCTTGTAGTTATCTACAGTAAGTTCTTTGTTGTAATTATTAATGTAAAGTCGTTCTTGTAGTTATATACAGTAAATCTTTCGTTGTAACTATTAATGTAAAGTCGTTCTTGTAGTTATATACAGTAAATCTTTCGTTGTAACTGTCTGAAGTCTTGCTGTTAGTATTGAAATGGAACTCGTCATTAATAATGTAAATTCTTCCTTGCAGTTGCATGTATTCACGTTTCTTCCTTGTCAAAGTAAATGCTGCATTGTAACTATAACCATCAACTTAGTATCTTCATCGTAAATGTAAAAGCAGAGCGAATTTTTTATTGCATGTGTGTGTGTGTGCGTGCGTGTGCGTGCCTGCGTGGTGTGCCGTATGAGAATATTACCTGCGTGTGCAGTACATCACAGTTTCAGCGTGTCCACGTGTTCACGACGCAATGCCGTCCTGCCTGAGGCAGGACATGTCACTGCCTTGACATTTTTTATGCCCTTGATTTTTCTGCACGCTAAATTATCGCTGCTGTTCAGTTTGCATGTATGTTGTATTTTGTCAGTAGACCCTCAGACAATAGATGGTTGGTTGAAGGTCAAGATCCTACTGCCTGCCAAAACCAGTGCAGCGAGCTGAAAAGTAAAATAACACACATCACTACCCCGAGAAAATGTCCAAAACCCTTGTCGCAATAAAAACAAACAGCCATCGGGGCATTTCTGTCAAGGACGCAGAAAGTGGGCACTACCGAGAGCCATCGACGGGAAAATCTGAAGGTTATCGGTTGTTTGAAATCGAAAAGAAACCATTGAAATTGATAGATTAATAGAGCGAATTCCGGCATCACAAATCATACAGTACTGCTTTCACACTTAGCATGTCCTAGAATTTTGACACTAAGCCGGATCTCTATTAAAAACAAATATTCGTGTATGTCCATATTCCTGAATGGTAGTTAGTAGACGTGCCCTTTACATGATTGGTTCCCATGCTGTTTAAAAAGAACCCATCTGTTTTGCTATAGTATTAAAACACGTCCCGTACAAATTTTAAACGTTCTTAATTTTGGAATGCTTTATTTTCCTCGTTATTTTCATCCTAATGTTCTATTAGTCAGCACTTTGGCGTTGACCTTGGCATTCCGACGCGATCTCTATCTCTATCTTTCGCTACATTTCTACTTTCTCTCACACACAGCTACATGAGGGCTTCTAGTAATGGTGTGCCCTCTATATACACTCTCTTGTTTTTCCGCACATCTACACAAATGCAAGTGCGCTGGTCTCAGTGGAGCCCTCTATAAATGTTCTCTTGTTTCTCCTCCGCAGCTACACATGCATGCACGCTGGTCAGGCCGGCGCCCTTTACATACGTTCTCTTGTTTCTCCGCACATCTACACAAATGCAAGTGCGCTGGTCTCAGTGGAGCCCTCTATAAATGTTCTCTTGTTTCTCCTCCGCAGCTACACATGCATGCACGCTGGTCAGGCCGGCGCCCTTTACATACGTTCTCTTGTTTCTCCGCACACCGCAGCTACACGAAGGCGTGCGCGCTCGCG